CGAGTGTCCGAAACTTCAAAAACAAAGTATCGCTTCCTTTGGTAAACTTGTAAAAACCAAAAAACTTAAAGAGTTAGTTTAAACTACAAAAAATAAAACCACATTGCTTGTTATTCTAAATATTACACCTTTCAAGTAACATTTAGAATTTTCAAGCAATTTTAAATTTATTTAACGGAAGAACTTTGGTACCGAGGTCAAAAGAATTGAATTTAGTAGGAATTCTAACTAATTTAATAATACATTTATCCACCATGTCTCTAACAAAACAAAATTTTATATCAACATTCTTAGTTTTATCGTGATACACAGGATTCTTACTAAGATAAATTGCACTTTGATTATCATTATGCAATCTGATGATTTCATCAGCAAAACCATGTTTCCTTCAATAAACCCCTTAATCATAGTCTCTCTTTCATGGCATCACAATCTACTATATATTTTGTCTAAGCAGAAGATAGAGCCATAATCTTTTGCAGTTGGGATTTTTAACTAATGCACTCATCACATAGAGTAAAAATATAAGAAGATGTTGATCTTCTTTTATATAAATCATCTACAAAGTCAAAATCTATGTCGTTCTTAAACATTGAGATAAGCATTTGATTCTTGAGATCAATCAACCAGAGAAAAATATCAAATTCAAATAATTCAAAACACCCACTTACTAAATACAATCAAGAAGATACTTTCTTAATAGTTTTCAGAGGTTGCTGAAAATTGAAAGAGGTTGGACTACAAGCACGAGAAGAGTACAAGAACAAATTGTTCTTGATAATTCATAGGAGATAGACAATTGTATAAGACCGGGAGCAGCTGTGAATGAAGCATGTTCCAGCGGATCATGGAGATTGCATGAATTAGATCAGCGAGTCTAGTGAGTTTTCTTGGCTAGATCATACTATAAGTTTTTATTGTTTATAGTGAAAAAAACTGACTTGGTCCTGGAGTTTTTACCAAGTTAAGGGTATTCTCCGTCATCAATTCTTTGTATTATTTACATTATTGATTTCAAACAAGCCAACAATTCAACATAGGATAGTTGATTCACGTGAATTGTATTTAGAGTAATTAATTATTGTGACTTG